GGGGGGGGGGGGGTTGCGGGTAGGGAGAGTTAACACGTTCTGGGAAGAGAGAACAGGTACAGAGCAGGTATAGGATCCTGGAGGTGAGGCAGCATCGTCTGTTCAAAGATGAAGCTCCTTTTGAGAGGCCCCAAGACCACCTAACTGTCTCTGGGTAAACCGCCCAGATTATTTAGATTAGGACACTATTTTCCTACTTCAAATTCTGAGCATTAATTTATGGTATTCCTGGGCACCAATGTATGTGCAAGTGCACCCAGAGCTTACGTTTCCATTAAGATAGTGCTTTAAGTGACTGTCTGAATCAGGTTCACCTGTGTGCTTGTTGACCGTTTAGATTCACAGCCTTTTTTTCTGGTCCACACAATCAGTATTTCTTGGGACAAGCCCCTGACCCTGTATTTTCAGAAGCCTTTCCATGTAGTACTCATATTCCTTAACGTTTGAGGACCTCTGCCTTAGAGTAGCAGGGTCTGATTCTACCCAAACACTGTAAACCTCTTCAAGGGTGACTTGGTAAATACATGTTGTTATATATTATTCAATAAATGTCACACCACCGTGTGTCCTCATTAATCCCCTTTCCCGATTTCGCTGAGAATTTTTAACAATGAACACTGGTCCAACACTTGGAAAAAATTCACTGGGAAATATGCCTGACAGAAGCAAATACTCTGGTGCTCAATCTGATGCTGTGTGTTTTTTTTTTTTTTGGCCGTGCCACACGGCATGCGGGATCCAAGCTCCCCGACCAGGGATTGAACCCGCGCCTTCTGCACTGGAAGCGCGGCGTCTTAACCACTGGACCACTGGGGAAGGCCCTGATGCTGTGTGTTTCTGATGAAAAGATAACAACCAAAAGATCACGTAAATGCACAGTCAAGTTAGAAAAACTCAAGGATTCCTTCATAGTTCTCACTAAATTAAAACTGTCCCGGCATCAGGATCAGGTTTCAACGTGAAGGAAGAACCACACTTACCCACAAATATATGCTTATTTAAGATTGCAAGAAAAAGGTTTGTTTCTACATAAGAATATCAATGCATATCGCTGTTATTTTGAATGAAAGAGCCTTTAAGTTCTTTAAAATAAAGAGACTGATAAAAAAAAGTCTCCAATTTAAAGTTTAATAAAACTCTTTTAGAAAACAAATCTATAACAAATTCAACCTTTGGGGAAAAAAGTGAATCAATGTTTTATCTTTTTGAATTCTTCAACTATTTTGTCACAAATCGTGCTTCTAAAAATATATTGGCTCTTCAGACGGCAGTGGTTCTGTTAAGGCCATGATTTTGGCCGCCCTCCGTGAGGCCTCAGTTTTGTGTGGTCTTAAAATCCTGAACAAAACACCTAGGAACGTGTTTGCATTTGCAGTATTTCCCTTTTAGGTGGAACGGCCACCCGACAGAGGGGCTTTCTGGGATGCATTCGGTCTCTGCAGTTGAACGGAATGGCCCTGGACCTGGAAGAAAGAGCCAAGGTGACTCCCGGAGTGGAGCCGGGCTGCAGAGGGCACTGCAGCAGCTACGGGAAGTTGTGCCACAACGGCGGGAAGTGCAGGGAAAAGCCCAGCGGGTTCTCCTGTGACTGCACCTCCTCTGCATACGCAGGGCCGTTCTGCTCAGACGGTGAGTGTGACGCGGGTGCCCCAGCAGCAAGACAATCCAACGTGAATAAAACCTCCTGCAGTTCTTTTTCTCTGTAGCTATTTGAAACAAAAGTATCTCCATTTCTGAAATTTTTTTGGCAAATTGCCTATTTTATGCCAATGACATTTCATTACTTGAATATTTGCCGCGGTTCTTTGAACACCGTGTTTATCGATGGTAAACCCTCTAATAGTCGCCTATAGGTGTTGTAGAGTGTTGGCTGCACAGTCTGATCTTTTCTATCTACAGCTAATGCTCTTAAGTAACATGGGTGTCAACAACCAGTCCCATGGGCAGTTCTCATTTTTCAAATCATTAAAAGCATTATTGTTATTTTTGAAGATGGTCAGCAATGCAAAGACATTTAGGAAGCTTTGTTGTTTTACCAAACAAATAATATTTCCAGGAATATAAATAACGTTTCCATTCAGTATTGATGTGTAACAAAATAGAGATACTCGGTGGTTTTGCTCTGTGAAATGCCAACCGTCTGTTGGTGATGTGAAACAGTGGACTGTTTTTCGGCTGGTCTTGTTCACTGATCCGTGTCATGCAAGAAGGAACGAACTGAGTGTAGTACTCAGCGTTCTGAACAGACTTCCATGAATAGACAAATGTATGCTCTAGTTCCTCATAGAAAAATGTCAACCAGTTTAATTCAGTTGCTTTATTTAAGTGTTTCTGGGCTACTGAACCTTTACCTGAAGGAGGCTAACGAAAACTGGCTGCAAATTGAAGCAGTCCTTGATTTGCAGTGAAAGCATTTGAGATTATTTAATGGAAAGTTGGCCAAAGTGCACTCTTCAAGTCATCTGCTTTTTATCAGGACTAAGTTATCGTTTGAAATCAACCTGTGGTAATCAATCACTGCTGCTACCATTCTATGCTTCTCACGTTTAAATTTGGAACTAAGACCTATGTCTTTACATGCTCATGTCTTTATAAGAGGATGTCTTTATTTTCTGAATCTAAATGATTTCCAGTTCATCTTGCTAAGTGTAATCAGGAATATTATTCTGCATCCACATGTTATGTAGTATCTAAAACGTGTATCTATAGATAGTAAAAATAATAAACAGGCAAAAAACGTACAGCTCTGAGGGAGTGGAGATGTTGCTGCATTATCCGTGAGCATCATCTGAAGCTCACGTTCAACACCTGCCCTGTATAGTAATGGAGGAAAGCAGAATTCTGGGATCCCGAGCTAGTAACCTCTCCCACCACCTTCTTCACTTTTATACAAATCTATTTGGTGTGTGTGTGTGTGTGTATGTGTGTGTGTGTGTGTGTGTGTGTGTTTATGTGCGAATTTAGGATATTAATCTTGTGTAAGTAAAATGATTTTTAAAAGTTTGGATAGTTATTTTTTTTAATTTAAAAAGTATCAGAATAACTGAGACAACATCCTTGTTTCTTAAATTTTTTAATGTAAAATGTGCATATCATTTCAGAGATTTCTGCCTATTTTGGATCTGGCTCATCTGTGATTTACAATTTTCAAGAAAATTACTCCCTAAGTAAAAATTCCAGCTCCCACGTGGCTTCATTTCACGGTGACATGAGGCTAAGCAGGGAAACGATCAAGTTTAGCTTCCGCACCACACGGACCCCGAGCTTGCTGCTCTACGTCAACTCCTTTTATAAAGAATACCTTTCAGTTATCATTGCCAAAAATGGTGAGTGCTGTTCAGGCGAGAGAAAACTGGGTTAGAACACTGGGTCAGGAACAATGTGGATCCTTCTCATGCTCCCGCCTCTCAAACTACAAACAGGAAAAGAAGTGTGCCTGTCCTGTGTATTCAGTTTTGTGTTTTCAGTACTGTCCTATCAACTTAATCTAAAAGGACTATTTAAAATACTTAAAATGCCTTTATCGGTTTATAATTTTGGTAATTTAACACAATCAGTGTGAATTTTTAATTTATGTAGGTAAAATATTTATTACACTTTATCATTGCTAGGATCACTTTACTCTTCCATGTATCAGTATCAGTTTTGTGGTTCATTTTGAAATAAGATGCCTATTTGTACGTAACAAGTAATTTCCTTTGAATCAAAGTAGAGAAGTTTTGAGAGAATGTTAACGAACTAGCATTATGTGTAAGAAAACGTCCACAAAATAATCTGTTGGTTCTGATTTTCCATAAAGTAGTCACGGGAAATGCTAGTACATCGATGCAGGGTAATGGTATGTGGCTTAGGACGTGTGTGCTACAGAAAACCACTTACTGTTATTGTTCTCTTCCCTTTATCTGGATTAGAGATAAAAATTTTATGAGTAAATCCTCTGGGTGAGGAAAACAAACCAACATACAAGCATGTGAATATATCATTTCAACTAAATCAAATATGGCCCAAGGTCACTGAACACCAAAATAAAAGTAATATTGTTCAATAAGTATATTTCTCCTCACTGTATACATTTTGAGCTTGAAGCTTATCTATATATATTAGGACATTTTCTCTTTTAAACTGGAAGATATCCTGTGAAGTAAATTTATTGACATCTTTGCAGGCAATTAAGTGAGTAGTGTTTGCTTATAATAATTTCATTCATCAGTTGCATTTCAGGAATGGTAGATATATTTTTTTTGAAAGATGAGATTATAGAAACGTTATTGCAATATTCCACAGTAGTTTGGCACTTTAATATACTAAATCTTATTTTTTTAAGTTAGAGGCTAGTACAGAGATTTGCAAATGCTTAATCACATATTTGACAAATTAAAATTTTGCAGGAAAGAGCCTGCTTATTTGCAGCATATTTGCTCTTGATTTTGAAAATAGTGCAATTTCACATGGAAACTGGCTTCTAGGGATTATGAGGAAAGTGTACATCCAAATAAACTACTGTGAACTTTCCCCCAGAGATTAATATCAAAAAAGGACTCTTGGGCTTCCCTGGTGGCGCAGTGATTGGGAGTCCGCCTGCCGCTGCAGGGTGCGCGGGTTCGTGCCCCGGTCTGGGAGGATCCCGTTTGCCGCGGAGCGGCTGGGCCCGTGGGCCGTGGCCGCTGGGCCTGCGCGTCCGGAGCTCTGCGCGTCCAGAGCCTGTGCTCGGCCACAACAGTGAGAGGCCCTCGTACCGCAAAAACAAAAACAAACAAAAAAAAGGTATCTCCAGACATCCTCAGCTGTCCCCTTGGAGGGCAAAATAGCTGGTCGACACTGATTGCGAATGATGTTTCAGTGGTTTCCATGAGGAAAACTGTATTATTTTGTTTGTGATCCACAGTGTGCTCCATATAAGAATCAAGCAGTTGTTATAAATTCTAGATTTGCGGTTAATGTTCTACCAACTCCAAATATTTCTGTCAGAACCAGGCGGTATAGCCTCTGGCGAATGGAGCCCCATGACCTACACAGGGTTCTATACTAGCAGATACCGGCTCTGTATTTCAGTGAAAACAGGTAGCTAGAAAAAGGCGCCTTAGAAGATGAACTTGAGTCTCCATGGAGCTAATACACGCAAAGTAGACCAATCAGCGGAGCAAAGCCAGCAGCAAAGCACAGCCGATTTAGACGAAGCTATAAACACGCATGTGAAGTGCCCAAAGCATGCGGCAAACGGAGAAACTAGAAGGAGGTCCAGGGTCCGGATGGAGCGACTGGATCTGTCCAGAACCTTAGGGTCACCCTGGATTCACCCTTCACTCCCCACCTTCCTTTCCTTCCCTCCCTCCCTTCCTTCCTCCCTTCCCACCTCCCCCTCTCTTCCTCCCCCCTCCCCCTCCCCCACACATCTGGTCCACCAGCAAAT